TTACTTGTCCACGCATCATGTAGGAAATTATTCTATCTTACAGAGATCACCAAGGTTCTACGTGGTCCTGATTCCAATAGGTAAGAATGGTCTTGTCCATTAAAGACATAAGAAGAAATACAAAGGGAAAAAAATATGACCCATTAGTCTTTCCTTTAAACGATGACTTACAACTTTTAACAACTGCAGTCACCAGGTGTAGGCCCAAGCTCTTCAGAGAAGTGTTCTCTGATAATATAAAGTTGCCTCCACCCACCACCACCATTGCTCTCTGATTTTATTTCCATTGTATATCTCTCACTATGTGAACGTATCCTGTTTATTTATTAACTCTCTTAACTTGTCTACTCACCAAATTATAAGCTCTATGAGAGTGGAACTTTGTCTTTTTCAAAGCATACAACAATGTCTAGAACATAGTTGAAGTCCAATAAATACTTGCTGGTTCAGTTCATGAGCACCCTATCTTTTCTTCTACTTAAACAAAATATTCTACCAGGCCCCAATTTAGGATTGCTTTCTAGGGCAATTAGCCTCCCATGTGGGTTAAAACTAAAAATGACTTGAAAACTCAGCAGACATAAAGGAGAGAAAAGTTTCCTTGTCCTTGATGCAATGGAGAGCTGAGTTTCCTTGTGCTGGATTGCATAATAACCAAATAGCGCTGTATCAGAATGTCTGTGTTACTGTCTTCCTCAGATCTGCTCAAGTATGGACGTCTGCTGAGACACAGGAGTATATATTAGGATTTGAGGGTGGGGATAAAACTACTAAAGGTGAGACCAGGCTTGCTTCATGGCCACAGAACAGGGATCATTATGGCTCCACAAACACCAACAATATATAAAAGACACCTTTCAATGAAGTGTCACAACAAATACCTCTGTTGACCTAAGCTGAACTCAAGGAAGAAATTCTGATTAGAATCAACTACTTGCCCAAAATGTTGATGGGGTCCACCTTTGGGCTGTAAGATGGAGAAGGGACAGGAAGGCACTCACATAGTGTCTAGCGCTTTTTTATTGGACCGAGGATCAAATTCATGACCTCACACTTAGCAGGCAGGCACTTGTAGTATGTAGCTTTTATAATTAATTTTTAAGAAGTTGGCATCCCACACCATCTTTTTTTTTGTTTTGTTTTCTTCCTTTGAGGATGCAGAATTCAACTGGACATGTTAAAACCAAGACATCTGGATTAAAATCAATATTAATAATGACTAGAGTTGTCTGTAGTGGAATTCCTGGAAAGAATTCCTAATACAATGATTCATCTCTAATAAGAGGACCAGAAACTCATCTAGGGACAGCACAAAAACATACATTTCTATATTACTGTCATCTTACAAAAAGTGAAAATAGTTACTAAAATAGCAACAGCTATGTAATTTTGGGCCAGGTGCTTATTAATACTACTTTTGACTTTTACAATACTCTCAAGTAAACACTATTGTTCCCATTTATAATAGAAAAATGGAACATTTATGGGGCTGGCAGAAATTATCCAGTTAGTAGTATAATGCTGCTTAAGAATAAATGGAATCAGGGGCTGGAGGTTTAGCTCAGCGGCATAAACACCTGCCTTGCAAGCAGGCAGTCGTGAGTTCAATCCCTGGTACCGATAAAAATGAAAAAGACCAAAAAAAAGAATAAATGGAATCAGTTAGGAATATAGCTCAGCAGCATAAGTGCCTGCCTGGCAAGCACAAGGTCATGAGTTCCATTCCCAGTACAAAAACAAAAAAATAATTCCAAAGAGTAAATGGGATCGTGTTCGTGTCTTGAAATTCTGTATCACTTTTGTTTTGGGAGACTTTTTGTTGTTATTCTTGTTGTTATATGCTTCTTTTGTTTTTTCTGTTTGTTTCTTCTGTTTTTTCTCTTTAAAATTAAAAACAAAAGAGTAAATGGGATGGCATTAAACCACGGTTCAAATCTTGACTTCCCTGTTTTTAGGTGCACGAGTTGCTTTAGCTTATACTCCATAAATAGCATCATACTACATCACACCTCAGAAGGTTGTGAAATGCCAATGAAATAAAGTTTGGGGTGGGGTTGTAACTCAGTGATAAGAGTGCTTGACTAACATGCACAAAGCCCAAGGGTTTTTTTAAAAAGTCAGTTTGTAAAATACTTAACAGAAACATTTGGTATAGCGCAAACACTAAAATAATAAATATTGTGGGATTCTTGCTCCTGAAAATGTAACTTCTCTTTGCCCTCGAGATACTGCTAAACCAGCAGCTAAAAAGAGGTGGACAAGCAGAGGTGAAGGCAGCAGCTTAAAAACATGAAAAGAAACACAAGAGGAGCCCACATAAGTTTACCTTGAAGAGATACAATGGCACACTTATAAGGACATGAATTATACTCAAGTTAATAATAATCACAGAAAAGATACACAGGTCATTAGTTCAAAATGTTTTGACACAGTTTACCTAGCATATTACACAGCTACTAAAAACCAATTTAGAGGATGGTTCACACTATAGAAAGACAATTATGAGCCACTGAATAGAAAAAGGTCATAAACTGGGTATGGTGGTGTATGCCTGTAACCCCAGCACTCATGAGACTGAGGCAAGAGGATCACTGTGAGTACAAGGCTAGCCTGGGCTACACAGTGAGTTCATGGACTGCCTGAAATACACAGTGAGACCCTGTCTCAAAATGAACAACAACAAAAAACGTTATAAATTGGGGCTGGGGATTTAGCTCAGTGGCATAAATAAGCGCCTGCCTTGCAAGTGTGTGGTCATGAGTTTGATCCCCGGTACTAATTTAAAAAAAATTTTATAAACCAAAATTACTATCTCTAATCAGTACTATTGGTATAATTTGTATTTTCTTTTTTTATTGATCAGTATTGTCTAAATTTTCTGTAATGAGCACATATTACCTGTATAATCAGAAAAAAATGCAAGTTTTTGGATTATTTGATTTTTTTTTTTAATGGCTATGTGAGGAGAAAGACACAGGCCTCAGAGGAAGTCAGAAGGGGCAGCCTACTGCTTTGGTGCTGATGGCTTCATGAACTTTGAGACTGGCAGCTTGAGGAGGTAAACAGAAGTCATTAATCTCATCCAGGACTCACGTGCATACTTCTAAAGTATGTCACTCCCGGAGACTCTGTAAGAGTACCTGGAAGACCCAAATCTCATATCCAGCTTCCTGACCTATCCCAAATAGGTTCGTAAGTCCCCAGATAACATTATAAATACATAACTATATCTGGAGCTGTTCAACTAACCCAAATAACATGCTCTCATTCCGTGTCCCCAAAATTTCTTAAAATATAAATCATTAACCTACTTCATTAAAAACAAATTTAATAGCATTCTCCCAGCTCAACGATGATAAAAAAAATAAAATAAAGAGAAACTTGAGGCTTGCATCAGGTCCCGTCAGAAAAGCAAAACTGAGCGCATAAATGTTCTTGCCAGTGCTGCTAAGCACGGAGCCGGACATTCTGTACCCGCTCTAGTTCTGCACAGGTCCCTTCACCTCGGGAACATAACACAGGAACTGTAACAGGAAAGGGGCCCTAGACAGTGTTGTTTATAAGACGTGACCACTCACAGCATGGACCTCTTGTTTCAGCAGTGATAGTCACCTCAAATCTAGGCGTCCTTGAGCCACAATTCTATTATTCCAGAAGTCTGTTTCAGGTCACTTCTACTAACAAAAGGCTTTGATTTCCTCAGAATCAAGATATCAGCTGGTCACCTCTTTGGCCCTTTGGCAAGGCAGCTGGGCGTGGAGGAGGGGCACAGTGAAAAAATGAGAGATGGAAACAGAAAAAGGAAAGAGAAGCAACAAGGGTACAAGCAAACACAGAGATGGCAGAGAATGCATTCTGTGTTTGGGTTGGAATTTCCTGTAACGCCACAAGGTCCTCAGTGAAAAAGAAAAGATTTCACATGAAGGCCCTAGGTATCTTCAAACCATCACCATTTCAGCACACAGAAAATCCACAAAATTCTAAAATGGTTAAAGCTGAAACCCTCATTTCAAATGCAATAATCCAAATCAGAGTATCACTGGAAAATTTTTTCCTTTGTATAAAGTTCCCTGGATGGGGGAGATAGTGTACTTGTTTATCATGCATAAGACCCAGGGTTCAATTCCCAGCATCACATATAGACACATAACACACACACACACACACACACACACACACACACACTCACCAAGAGACAGATTTCTGCAGAACAACACATTTACCTCCTGCATCTTGGGCTCTTCCTTCCCACTCTCAACCAGAAAATTACTCCAAAGCAAGCTCAGTACAAGGGAAGGGTCTACAGGCACCCTCAGGAATGAGTGTGACTATGACACTTGTGACACTAGCAAATCCGCCCGAGAGTGAAGAGCAAGGACAGTGCCAGTCCAAGCATCCTGGCACTAAAGTGCAGCATTCGGAAGAGTTGAAAATTGCTTGGATGCAACAAAGGAAAAGAATATGCAGCTTCATAAGAGCAAAGGATGAAGCAGGTAAGACAGCAGCACCCTTGGAGTCACGGTTCAGAAATTCTCAGGAAAAGGCTGGGAAAATGGAAAGGATAGAGATAACAGCTAAGGGGTGCAGGATTTTGTTGGGAAATGAGGAAAATGTTCTAAAATTAACTATGGAGACAGATGCAAAATTCTGTGAATATACCGACCAGCACTGAACTGTAGGCTGTAAATGGGTGAAGCATGCGATATGTGAATTGTATCTCAAATCCTAAGGAAGGATCTCCAAGGTCTCGGCCCACAACTGCCTGCACCCACATTGTCCCATGTGGGGAGCTCAGTAATATGTCTCATTGAGATGACACATTAAAAGAGAGAGATGAGTCACCCTTCTCCAGTCTGACATTTGACAAGTTTCTCATGTGAGATAACGATCAAAAAAAACACTTCAGTCACCTTACCTACAGAAACTCAGTTTTGAGAGCTTCAAAACACACCCTAACATTCAAAACTTAGATTTGTAAAAATAAGCAAATTTTAAGTTACCTTCATCTGGTAATCTTCATACATGAATTCAGCGCTGCTTCAAGCACAAAGCCCCAAGCCCTGGAGTGCTGTGACGGTGTAATGTTATGCTAGCCAAAAGAGGTGGAGGAGTTGAGAAACAAGCCAATATCATATCCCAAAAGAAACTGAGGCCAAAAGCGATCAGTTCCACTCCAATTTCCTATGCAATGGAGCAGAGCTACCCTGCTGGGGAACTTATTACAAGCATGCTAGCTACATAAGAGGAAACAGGATTTCTTTCCAGAGAGAAAGAGAAGCTCTAACTGGAGCTGGCATGGTAACGTGCTAACCTTGCACACTAAGCTCCAGCAGCTTTGGTCAGAGGGCCTGGAGATGGCAGCAAGGCCTGGCCAGCAGACATAGATACAGCAGGAAAAAAGACCTGCAGATGTTGAAGCATCCTGCCCCGGTATCTGCCCTGGCCTTTAGCTCCTAAAAAGCTATACTAGCCACAGTGGGAGTTGCACAACTGCTGGATACATTGCCCAAGGTAAGACTTGTATCAAACAGCTCTATGCTTTTTGGAAGATCAGCCCACAGGATTTCCTAAGAAGAAAAGGGCGGAGCAAAAGTTTCATTGGCCTCCTTGAGGTGACACCCTGGCATCTCACCAGCAATGCCTGTGGTCTGTTCTGTCACCCAGCCCTACCTAGTGGGTTGAGAACAAATGAGATCAGATCACAGATAGGCACTAACGGAGCAAAGACTGCCAGAAATCAGTGGCCTGAAGGTGCTGCCATGACAGAAGGAGCAAATCAACTTTTTCCGGGTTTGAAGCACTTCACACTCTGGGACCATCAGCCAGAGTTTCCCCAGACTCAGTATCCCTAGCTGTGCAAAGGCCAAGCCAGTTCACTATGCTTCCTGAATACTTTTCAAGGAAAAAAAGAATGTAAAATATAATTACAGTCTCTGATCCCAGATGCCTTTAACCCTGACAAGAGTGCCCAAGACTCTGGGGGAAAACTGCCCTGGGATTGACCAGGAGCATTTCTGGAGATTCCCCAACTCCCACAGAAGGGCCCTAGATCACAGGCTAAGCTCATGAAACAACTGAATTCCAGGTGCAAAGCCACACTAACCATCCCTGAAAACTTCACACTTCTGAAATGCACCCTAAACATTCCTTGACTTTGAGTAACTCAGACACCTTTCAGTCACCTGAGATGTCTCAACACTAGGTTAGATACCTTGACTGTGTACCTTAAAGTGGACAAAGGATTTGAGGCTAGGTTTATACAGAATCCCCTTTGGCCTGTTCAGATTTAATGCATGGTCTGAGGACCCCTTCTATGCAAATCACCTTGGGTCCATGCAGATATGAAATCCAGATTTCCAGGCCTTCCCCAGAGCTTATGTATCAGAATCTCCTTGAGTAGAAGAATCTACAGTGAGGGAGATTCTTACACAAAGAATCACATTCATTCATTCATTCATACAAATGATGTTTTAAAATTCTGCAAGAAACACTGATCAGTGTTACTCCATGGTAATCACAGTGGTTACAACTCAAGATGGCTGCAGTCATGTCAAGCTAAATCCACACAATCACCAACTAATAACAAGGACAATCTGGTAATGACAATAATGGCAGGTCCCAGTTATAAAGCACTTACCATGGGTCTGCTTACACTGCTAAGCACACTTACATCTATTCTTCATCTATTGTTCACAATAATATTATTAGGTAGTTATTAATTATCTACCTTGTACACAGGCCGCTTTCTTCAGTTTCACCTCCTAAAAGGTAAAAACAAATCTAAAGGCCTCTGGGCAAGTCCTAACCCAAACTGGCCAGGACCAAACCTCTGATTATCAGTTCACACTCTCTCCAATCCTCTCCTACCCATCTGCTACATGTCAGTACTCCCCATAGTTCTGGCCTCCATTCTCTTCTCTCACTCCATGTCAGTGTTTCAACATCTAGACTCACCTGGAGAGTTTTTGTCTTTTTTTTAAATTCCCCAGGCCCACATTGCAACCCAAACAAATTACTTCAGAATCTCCAGAAAGTGATTCTCTGGAGGCACACACCAGGCTCCTCGGGTGATTTCTTGTGGATTCATCCATTTGAGGCCCTCAAAGACCAGGTGGAGAGATGCAAGCTACACTCATATGCCCCATCTTGCTCCAGTTTCAGAGCTGAGCCTCCCACCACCTTGCAGGTGCCTTCACCCGCATACCCCATCAGAACAAATCAGCAGGAACGAATCTTACTTAATTTCCCCATCACACACCATGAGACTTCTGTGGTATACAGGTCAGCTGGCCTCCAAAGGCCTAACAAAGAAACGCTAAAGATACCCCTAACTCTGTCCTCCCAACTTACTCACCAAATGCTACTGACTCTATATTTTCCTCTCCATTCCCATCAGATCTCTGAAAATGTCACTGCACCTTGCATTCTACTCTATAATTTATCAGTTGTCTGCTTAAATATTCAAACAATAAAGCAGACTTTCAGGGAAGAGTACTCACTGGTACAGAGCAACCTGCCCAGGTAGCTACTTGTACCCTAGTCTGTAAAGCACACTCCCTCTCTTTCCCCCATGTGCCATGGCCAGATGGTGTCTACTCTCAAATATGTCCACCTTGGGACAGTTATGCAGAGAACAAATCTCACATCAATGGTAAAATATGGGATTATTTTAATACACATGCATTCCTCATTTAAGATCTGTTTAATGTCTGTTCTGACTTAAAACCTGCCACTCAGACTTATGATCCATCTTTTTTTGTATAGTTCTGTACACCTTACTTATAGAGCCTCATTATTTTCTTCTGGTATAGTATACCTTATTAATACAGCACTGTAGTTCTTGCTGATTATACTGTATGATACTGTAGTTTTATGTTGTTACACATTATAGTACTGCATGTAAGAGCTAAGCAAATAAAAACAAAATCATCAAGTTGAAGTCTCTTTTGATCACTTGTGTTGAATATTATAATGTACATACTATAACAGTTCCTCATTTAGTGACCAATTCATTTAATGACAACCCGTATCTTGTTACTAAATAGTTACTAAATGAAGGAATGTCTGTAATGACAAGTATTTTTCAATGTAATGACCATGATTCAAAGACTATTTGAAGGTATTTTAGAAAAAATTGCTAAACAAATCAAACTTGTGATTTCTCACTACTATAAACTTCTCTTGTAAAATAAATGCTTTTTAATTTTTTTTTTTCGTAGCAAATAAGCAGAGGTAAAGGTGAGGCAAAAAAATAACAGAGGTGATCTACCAATGACTCATCAAAAAGAACCTTCTTGTGCTTGATAAACCATTACCAACCTTTCCCAAAGACCTCTGTTATCTCTTCAATTACCCTGCCAACCTGCCAGCAACCATCATGTGCTGTGGACCACCTGTGTTTCTGCCTCCACCGTCTCCTCCTAGGAGAATAAATACCCAGAACATGAGATCAGCCTGCTGCATCCCAGAAACCCCACCAACGTAGCCTTCTGTACCAACAGACACTGTCACAGGCCCTGGAATATACTGTGGAGAACAAGTAGCATAATCTGTCCTCCATAGGAGAAAGTGCCAAGTTCTATGGGAGAAACAGGATGGAGTGATATCAGACAAAACACCCCCTTGCCTCACCATGAGGGCCAGGAATCCTAAGGCCCAAAGGGAGGCTTCCCACAGAGCAGGCATGTCAACAAGCCCAAGCCACAGGCAAAGACATCACCCCTCTCTGACACTGGCCAAGCCTCCTAAAATATGCAAGCATTGTACAAAGATAAAAATGTAAGAGGCCCATCACTAGGAACACAAACAAGTTCTTTAGGGTCCTATATTTCGGCAATGCTTAGATACTGCTGAGTTGCATTTTAGGGAATGATTTTGGTGGTGGTTTTTAATCCCCAAATTAGCATTTAAACTCGGGAGAAGGAAATGGAGAAAATCCTAAGTATTGTTACTTTACAAAATGTTCTATAATAAATTCAAACAGTGAAAATCATGATTTATAAAATTCAGTTCACCTACAACTTTTAAAAACACTTGTACGAAATATTTATTGAAATGAAGACTGTATATATAGTACCTTTTAGCTGAGCAATCCCATTTCTAAGAATTCAACCTACAAATCTATTCATTTATGTGTCCCAGAAATGCCAGGATGTTACTAGCACTAATGCTTATAGGGTAAAAAAAAAAATGCTTATATGGTAAAAAAAAAATCTAAATATTTACCATGAGGAAAGTAATTACATAAACTATGTCATACCCATACAAGGGATACAATACAAATTCGCAGGCGTTACCTCTGTAAATGCTAATGTAGAATGTCAAAAATAGGTTACAAAGTGTGAAACAATATATATGGCATCCTCTCAAAGTTACATATAGTTCTATATACATATACATAGTATATATATTTATATACGAATATCAACATGTAAACATATACAGACATTTTTTTCTGACACATGCATAAATTATAACCAAACAATATAGAAGAAACTGGTAAAATGTTGCCTCCAGTAGAACAGGAGATGCAGGGACAAGAATTATTAGAGGGATACATGCCTTTTTGTCTCTTTTGAATCCTGTACCACTTATAGGTATTATATATTTAGATCAGCTTTCAAAAGAGAAACATAGATATAAATCAAATTAAATGTTTTAATTTTATTTGTTCAACTGATATTCGTTGTCCACACCTGCCCTAAAGTGTAATAATGAGATACACAGTCAGAAATTTGCTATTTTTTTGTTTCCACCTACTTGATGGTGTCCTTGGCACAGAAACAGCCAGAGTTCAACTCAGCACCTGAAAATCTATCTAAAGTCTCACAGGAGGAGTGAGTTCATATTTTCTGAGGATTTCAATTAGCCTGGAGTAGGCTTAAAAGTAGATCTGACAGCAAGATCAGATGAAAGCTACCTGTGACGTCTTTACAAACCATACAAAGCAACGTTTATTTTGGCTTTTCCTGTGTGGCAGCAGCCAGAGTCAAAGTGTAGCTACTGGCTTGGCACAGAGAAGCCAGCAAGTTAACAAGGCATGGTCTAGAATTCCCAAGCCCCAAACCTTTGTCCATGGGCAAAGAAAACATACACACACACCACCAACCCCAGGAATCTCCTCTTTCTAAATATAGCACATAGAGCCTGGTCTCCCTCTGCAGCATTCTGTGCCTTCCAATGAAGGTGAACCGAGCCAGATATAAACATGCCGTGACAGCTTCTGGCCCACACTGCCAAGCTGTTTTCCTTACAATTTCCTCTCTTCCTCCACTCCGGATTTCTACAAAGATGTGTAAACCCCACTGACTCTCATTTGTAAAAATTCCTCTAGCCACTAATATTGCTTTTCTCACCCTAACAAACATGATTTCCTGCTGAGTCCCTATAATTTGAGTTTGGAACATACTATTAAATATGGGCACAGAACTGTCCACCTCCCATTTTACCTAGACGAACTTGCAGCTCAGAAAGGATGTCAGTTAGCATCAAGACCAATAGGGACACATCTAATTCACTGTAATCTCTCTCACTCATTCTGTCTCCCTCCTCCTCTCTATCTCCCTCCTTTCTTCCACCTTGATTCTTTTAGAATCAGTATCAGTCCTTAAACAAGAGGGCTGTCCAGGATGCTTTCAATTTGAGATAAAAGGTTAGGTTTTGAAAACATAATCTAACACATGCAAAGGAGCACCAGCAGCAACTTGCTACAGGGATATAAAAGACCTAAACAAAGGATGTCAAAAAGACTGTAAAAACTGAAGTCAGCAACAATTTCACATGAAAGAATCAATCCCATAGAAATGGTAAGACCCACACACAAAGGCAGGTGTGCAAACAATCACTACAATACTTTCTATAACTGGAAAAACTGAAATAATCCAAAAATTCACCAGTAGAGCCTGGGTAAATAAACCCATACAACAGAACCCTCTGAAATGATCAAAAGGACTGCAGTATGTACATGGAAGAATTCTAAGACCTAGTATTAGTGGAAAAATGAAACAGAGTAAGCCATATAGTATAATGCCATTTATGAAAACAAATTTGCAGAAAAGAGAAAGGAAAAAAGCAAAGCAAAATGATTAAGGAAAGGGAGTTCTGGGGCTACAGGCTTACCTCAGTAATATAGCACATGTCTAGCATGTGGAGGGGCCCTGAATTCCTCCCTGGCACAGGACAAAAGGAAGGGAAGGAGGACTGAAGGTGTTTTACTTTGTATTTACCTTTCTATGTTATGATTTTTTATGAGAATACATTCATGAACTGTCTGTATCATCTTGTCTTTGCACTAAAGATTAAGCCATTCATTTATAATGTCAATTTTCCACAAACCTAATCCTTCCCAAACCTTCTCTAGTTCAGAAAATACTGCCATCATTCACATAATCACTCAAGTCAAAGACGTTTTTATTTGGAGAGAGAGTGTAGAGACAGTCTGTAGCTGAGGCTGGCCTTGAACTCACAGTGATTCTCTTGCCTCAGCTTCCTGAGTGCTGGGCTCACAGGCATCCATCACCACACTGGGAAATTATTCTCGACTTTTCTCTCATAGTTTACATCCAAATTAATCATGTAGGGCTCCACTGACCAAAACACCCAGCATCTGAGCACCACCTCTGATGTCACCACCCCATTCCAAGATGCTCCTGCCTCTGACCTGACCTGTTTATTGTAACAGCCTCTTAACTGGTCTCCTTGCAAACATCTTTGCCCTACTACACCTAATTCTCCAACTTGCTGCCTGCAAGATCTTTCTAGAACACAAGATGGACCATATTATAACCTCCTAAGTCCACCTATCACACTTAGAATGAAACTCAAGTTCTTTCTGGAACTCAAATCTCCATGACCTGGCCCCTAGACTCTTTCTTCATCCATTTGCTATCATTCTGCTCTAGCCACAGCTGGCCTCGCTGCTGACCTATAAACATCCCCAAAATCCCTTCCTCCAATCTAAGGCTTTGGAAAGTATGGTAAGAGCTTGACAGGGGCTGCATATTGGTTGCCTTAAAGCATTCTTCAGTGGCAAAAAGTACACGTAAGTTGAAACATACTGGGTTATAATTTTAAAAATTAAACACCAAGCTCAATTAGAAATTTTAATGTAGAAAACTCATTCTGGCTGTTAGCTTCATATTGGCATTATACCGTTGGCTAATTTTCTGAATGGCCCTGACAGAGTAACAAAAACCTCTTCATCAGTGGCTTTTCCAATAGCTCAGTAGTCATAATGTTCACTAATGGGTTCTCATTTTGTCACTTCAGAGATCAGAAGCATACACTGGTCAGAATCAGTGAGCCCCATCTGTGGGTTCTGCCCAAAGGGATGCTGACTAGCTAAATGGACAAAAACTTGAACCACAGTCTCCTAAGAATCACTTTCCTAAGTCCTGAAATTCTAAATATGATAGGTCAACTACGCTGGAGGCTGTAACAAATGAAAAAAAAAAAGTCTTCAGAAGAAAACAAAGAAAGAAAATATACTAAGTGCTTTTCATTTACTAAGTGCTTTCATTTAATCCACAAAAGTCTGGAAGTTTTATGGGACAAACTAAAAGGACATACATATCTGAATACATATTTCAACATATGGCTAATAAATGCCACGATAAAATACTCAAAATCATTAGTCATCAAAGAAATGCAAGTTAAACCACAGTATATAAGAAAAACTACATGATACTGTAATGGTGAGTTTAGATACCACTGATGGCTACAATCAAAAAGAAAGATAATAACAAACGTTGGGAAAGATGCAGAGAAACTGGAACTCTCAGATAGTGCCTGCAAGTAAGGTATATAAAATGGTGCTTCTGCTGTGGAAGACACCCTCAAAAGTTTCTAAAGGTTAAACATCAGTTTCATTTAAGCCCAATTTTAAATAAAGATTAAACATAAATTTCCATATAACTTAAGAACTGTCCTTTTAGATAAGAAACGAAATTAGAAGTGAAAACATAAACCCACACAAAGATATGTATGTAAATGTTCATAGCAGCATTACTCATAAGAGCCAAAAACTAAAAACAACCCAAACATCCATCAGCTGGTGAATGGATAAACAACTTATGGTTTGCAAAATAAAATACTATTCAGCAGTATAAAGTTCTACTACTGTTCCGTGCTACAAACAAACAAATCTCAAGACCACCATGCCAAGGGAAAGAGGTCAGGTGTGACAGATGCCATTCTATATGATTCCATTTAGCTTAAATGTTTCGAAAAGATGAATCTATTCATACCAAAAAAATAAGACAGAAAATTGATATGTCAATCCTAAGTGTTACTGATCATTCTGAGGAGGGGAAAAAAAGAGATGAAAAAGCAAAACGTCTTCATATTTATATTATATTAAGTCAAATAAGCCAGATACAAACGTATAATACATATTGTATGACTCTACTTATATGACATGCCTTGAACAGAAAATTGCATAGACAAAGTAGAATAGAGATTATCAGGGTCTGGAGAAGGCAATAATGGAAAGTTGTTGTTTCATATGAGAAGTTTCAGTTTGGAATGATGAGAAGTATATTAATATGTAAAAAGTATATTAATTATTTAAGCCATAGTCAGTGGGTCAAATGATACAAATCGGATACAATATATTTAATCTAACCAAAAATAGAAAAAAGTTGAGGGATATTTTTGAAGCAAGTTATATAATAACTATAAATCTTGGTTAGGTTCATTTTGCTGTTGTTTATATTTTTATGAGTGTTATGGCTTGTGCTTAGATGCCCCCCAAAGTCTCATTCCGTCATAGGTATGGTTTTTTCAGAGGTGGCTGGATCTAGAGTGTGTAGCACTGGAATTGATTCAAGGTGCAATGCTAGGGTCAAGGGCACTGGGCTTAAGGGTGTGAATGGTACCTGCCCTCAGTAGTATGCATGAGATATAATGCATAGAAAAAGCTGTGATTATCTCTTTTTACTTTGCCACCTTCTGCTCACCATGAACTGTTTCTCCTCCGCAATGCTTATCTTCCATGCCATCCTGCATTTGAGCCAGCCAATTATGGACTGAAACCTCTACAAACTGTGATCTAAATAAACCTTTCCGCCTTTAACTTGGTGTGTTGGGTATTTTATCCTAAAAACAAGAAAAATAACTAAGACATCACCATCTATAAATAATTAGGAAAAGCCTTTTTTCCCTTTTATTCACAAGGCACTAAAGCAAATCAAGGGAATTGGGAGAAACTTGCTGCTACCTTCCTGCATTTGTATTTGTCCCATCAGGATTTTGTGACTAATATAATTACTCCTAAACAAAGCAAGCTAGTATTGACCATTCTTAGAGTTTAGGTTATTCAGGAAGCACTCATTTCACTGCTACAAAAAAAGCTTATACTAAATCTTAAAGAAGGACAAAAAACTGACAAGCTTTAAAGTATACAACAGTTAATAATAACTTTTTTACTCCTGTTTTAATGAGTAAAGTAGATGAATCATTTACCTTACCAAATCACATCAGAAACAGGTTTCTGGCCTCCTTGTTCAATGTTTTAATACCCACATAAAAGAGAATCATTGATAATCACTCAGTGCTATCCCAAAAAGAAAGCACTGCTTTACTAAGCCAAGACGTAATCACTGCCCTCATCTGTTCCTCCAGCCTAGAAGATTCCTTCAGTCTAAGAATGTGTGAAAAAATACAAAAAAAAAAAAAAACTTTAGCACACAATACAAAATATAAGCTAATCTTTGCTACCAGGGCTCACAGTCTGAAAACCACTAGGACAATATATTCACTTAATCCAGCACTCTGTCACGTTTCTCCTTTCTGGAATCTAAATCTAAGAAAATACCTGCATCTTCACCACCAGTATTTTTGCTGAAGGCACTGAAGTAATGTTAAGTGGAGATCCTGCAATCCACTGCCAAGTTCAAAATTTGGTTACACAACTTCCTAGCTGTATGTCATTACACAAGTTACCACACACATAAAATGCAGAAAGAGTAGTACAGTCAGAGCTCCTGTGTGCAGTTCTGTATTCTAGGATTCAACCAACTAGAAGGGAAAATATTTTTTCAAATGCATGTGTTCATTTTTTCCCTTATCATTATTCCCTAAGCAACACAGTGTAACAATTATTTATACACTACTGACATTGTGTTAGGTATTATAAGTACTTGTGATAATTTAAGTTGTTCAGGAGGATAAATATAAGTTACTTGCAAATATTTTATATATATATATATATATATATATATATGATACTTATGAGCATATGAGGTTTTCAGATGTCCAAAGGAAGTCTTACAACCAATGCTCCATGAATACTGAGGGTCAACTATATTTATCTTACAGCATGCTGGTATGGAAAAGTAAGACAACGTGGGTACTTATCATAGGACTTGGAACTTGGTAAATGCTCAATAAAATAAAAACATGCTGGCATTCTAAATAGTGTTCCTATTAAAATTAACCTAGGAGTGGGATAATAAGGCAAAGGACAGAGGTCTCAAAAGTACTAACCTCCGAAAATTCAATGAAAAAGGCACATATTCCCAAAAGTTTCACAGAAAGTATGGGTTCAACTACAGAAACACAAATAAATTAATTTCATTTAGTAATTTTTTAAAATGGCACCAAGCAAGACTCAGACACAAAGTATGTCTTGGTTTGGTGTCACACACCTTGACCCAACTTTACAACACACTCAGAAAAGGCCAGACTCTCGGCCTTGCTTTTGTTACTCCCTGTGCACCCATCAATGCATCATAAACTAAAATGAATCCATTCCCCTCTCATGGGCTGAAAACATCACGGGGCACCCAGGTTTCTCCAGGTCAGTGATAGCAAACCTTTTAGAGCCTTCAATGATAACAAACAGCCTGCTGTAGCATGCATGCCACAGTTCACTGCCACTGCCCCAGTACACAGTTTCATCTTTGGGCCCTCACCTCTACTTACACTGCCTTAATGAGAAGGAGAACAATTTCCCCACCTGAAATTCCAATCAAGAACCCTGTGCCTCAAGGGTCCTGTGTCCACCAATACCCAGGAAAAAATTATTAAAACTGTATTTCTAATGTCTAGAACAGGCAAATCTACAGAGATAGAAAATACATCAGTGGTTAACTAGAGTCGCTTATTTGAATATGCAAAGGTTGGTAAGAAATAAGGAATGTTCTAAGTTATGATGATGGTTATACAACTACATGAATGTACTCAAAGCTCTGAACTGAATACTTTAAATAGGTGAGTGGGGTGATGATGTTATATCTCAATAAAGGTGTATCTGAATAACTCCATAACCATACCCCCCACTCAGCTTAAACTATTTAGCAGAAGGGTACTCTATTTCAAAAAGCAGAAGTTAAATATAAATGGGTATGTCCCCAATAACTTGGCATAGCCCCAAATCCAGAATGCCACTGTCTTGATGGAAAGTAACAGTTCCTGAAAACCCACATCATCCCTCAAAACCAACAGTCTAACGCACTTCTATTTCTCTGAAACTACATTCAGTTTGCCACTAAGTTCATGAGATAATCAGATATGAAGTTCAACTTATTTTGAGAGCTTTTCATGCAAGGCAGAAAAAGGTAGCCAGCCCAGAAGAGGGCAAGTGAATTTATCAAAAAGGGTGAAAATTTAAGCTACCAGAATATTTTTAGGAACACAAGAGATGCTGTAAAACTTAATTATTTTGCTACTTTTTAATCTATGGAAGCCTCTTTTAGCACAACCACAACTTAACACAAACCAGGATTCTGCCCACCAAAGGCTAACACACACAAAACTATGAGTTACCAACAACTGACACAGAAAGGTATTAGCCTAACTCCTACACCTGCACTTAATGAGGTCTGCTCCAAGAATCACCAATCCTGACAGCCGTGAATGCTGGAAAATGCTAACACCAGCTACCAACAATTGAGCAGTGCAACATAGCAGGTACCAAGCTAAGCGCTTTCTACACACGCACCGCTTCCATTTCTCACTACCCTAGGAAGTCAGTGTGGCTATTCCCACTTTACAAAGCGGAGGCCAGACTTAGCCACATGCCCAAAATCAAGCAACGAATAAAGTGATGGGGTCAAGATTTGACCGAGGAAATCCTAAAATTCTTCCATCCTCTATCACCTCTACAAAATAAAGCAAAAACAAAAGACTAATACAAATCTTCTTGACTTAGACAACTATCAAGTTAGAAGAAAAGGTTGTAAGTGAATAAGTCCCCACAAAACAGGACAGGACCCAAAAAAATGACTGCCAAGGCTGAACTCCATTTCGAAAAAGAGCTTTCTCAAGGCAAGGTTTTTGTTTAACTCTCTGTCTTCAACTATTTTATCCTCTCTGTGTCCAGACCAGGAATCCATACTCCAAAGAAAGAGTTCAAGGGGTTCATTTGGGGTGGGGGTGAAAACATCTTGTTTATGTATAAAGATTACAGAAAGAGAGGCGAAAGAAAGGACTAGGGATTTCCGAGGTAACAGCTTCATATTCCATCCTCATATGCCAAGAAGGGGTTCATTTTTATGAAGCCCACCACTCTCATGATATTCTCAAGGAAATTCCAAAGCTAAATGTAGGGAAACGCCTGACTTAGCCTGATCTAAACGACAGTGTTGCATCAGGGTTAAATGAAATATCTTTGATATTTGACAATCTATGTTTAAATACCCTTAAATGCTATGTCACCTTGGGTGGTTCCTGACTTCTCCATCCTTTAGTTTCCTCATTCATAAAGCAGAAGAAGTACCACAATAATCACGCCATTGAACTTTGCCTATCCTTGCAGGCCAGTTTCACTATCTCTGATTCTTGCACAAAGAAAATCTAAATCCAAAGATCTGCAAATACTAGTTATAAATACAGTCATAAAATAAAATCACTGTTACTTATGTAATTATGTATAATTATGTATTTATGTTTAAGCCGTACTGGAAAACCACTGGCTTTTCATTTACAATAATGATAAAGATGATCTAAAGAAAAATGTCACACAAATACTAATATGGCAGTATAGTGCTTGTTAAAGAATGCCTGAAATGTAGGACACAGTGACTGACCCCACTTTCTTTAAGAATTCACATGCCCTGCTCAAGTAATAGTAGTGATAGAGGAGCATTGTTAGTTGTAGAGCCAGATACACCAAGTATCCCAGCAATCTAAACCCTAAGTTACAGGGCTGCTCCATCCCATTAGGTAATTTAACTACTGAATTCCATCACTACAATGCTTCCTAACTAAAGAATTCTTAGGGCTGAGAGTACAGCTCTGTGGTAGAGCACTTCCCTAGCACGTGCAAGATTCCGGGTTCAACCTCCTACACTACATAAATAAATACACACACACACACACACAGAATTCTGGCCTTCCCCAAAATAGCAGTAGGTAAAATGTCAGTCACTCAAACCCACACCTCAGATTCAATGCTGAGATGCAATTCCAAAATTCTAGTGGGCTTGGTTAAGGGATTCCATCCTGAGCAAGGAAGATGCAGCAGGATCAAGAGCTCTGCAATGACAAGAGCTCCATTTCTGGCTCACATCAGGCAGATGCAAAAGTTCTAACTCATCTGCTAAAGATGTGCGCCTCCGCGCTAATGTTTCCCTCAATATTTCCCTTGGTTTTCCCAGTTGCAAAATAAAAGTACATGAGATAATTTACAGGTGAGGCAGTGCCTAGTATGGAACATATATCTCTGCACCACAGGGGTACTAGAGTATCACTGCTGCATTCTCAGTACCCAGGGCACTACCCAGCACACAGCAAGAAGGCTTTCCATATATTTGTTGAGTGAAGTTGAGGACCAATTAAAGCTAGCCGGAGGGTCAATAAAAATGCCTGAACCCAAGTCATCAAAGGGTTCCTAGTGTTCTTTCAAACCAAGGTCGTGTGTTTCCTAGATCAAGGAAGATCCTCACCACTGACACAGGAACACCAAGACTGTTTCTATGTTTCAGGTAAGGCACAGCCTCTTAAGGAGAGCAGGGTCCTTCAAAGACCCTGTCCCTGGAAAGCTCCTCTTATCACAGTCCTGTGGTTCATCTCACCTCCAGAAGACTGGCATTTGCCCTGGCATTCTGTTCTCTCTTGCTTCCTTTTTTAGAAGAAATAATCTCATAAAATGACACCTCAGGCAGTTGGGTTCTATAAGTCTCCTATCAAGAGGCCTGGGGACAACTCCTTCTGGAAGATATTACCTATCAGAAAATCCAGCACACAGACAGGAAGAGTCAAAGACAATTCCATTATCTGCCTTCATGTTGTTCCCGATTCTCAATGAAAAGATGGCCCTACTTTTAAATGGGTAGACAGAAAAGGCACCAAAATACATTCTCACGATGCAACGTGCTCATCCCTGGCGCACTTTAATTGGCCACAAGGAGAAATCCTTAGCTCTGCAAAACTCAAGCAGAATGCAAATTTCATTTCTCCCCTTGTACCAAGGGGGAAAAAAGAAAAGAAAATTGAAAGGTCAAGAACGCTTAAGATGAATTTAAGCTTCTCCTTTCTGAGGTGGTGAGGCCATTCTCAGACATTTCAATTTCAGGTTTTAAGGATAATGCAAGAGGTAAGAAGTGGAAGGAAGGAACAGGAGAGGGAGAGAGATGGGATATGTTCGTTCTATTTTTAAACCCTCGCCCACAGTTTAGAGTAAAGGAACACTCTGGTTCCCTACTCCCACCCTGTCACTTTCTGCTGAACACAAGAATCGGAACCTGCACACGTACATGGCTCTGATTCTAGATCCGGGGGTTACCGGTGGCCAACACTCCACGGAATTGGGAGCTAATCAGCCATTCCACCCAGAAAACCCGGCAGCCCTCAGCAGGCTGGAGATGCCAACAGAGAACGAAGCAGTGACGCCCCGCCTTTCCCCTGGGGGAGGCAGCGACCCTCCGCCACTCTCCCTTCCCAGGGTTGGGCACCCAGGATTGAGCTATTCTTCCTCTACAGGAGCTGAAGCCGTGGACGCGATGGGCTTCCCAAAGGGGTGCGGCAGTCTGGGCACAAGAGTCCCACTATCAGGACACCTGTGTGTCGCGCACACCCACCTGCCCCAGAGCACCGCCCGCGCCCGGTCCCTGCCCGGCCATCCCCGGACGCAAACGGCTGGGCGACCGGTTCTTTCCTCATCTGACGGAGACCGGCTCGCCCGCTTTGC